TACAAGGGTTGACTTAGAAGCCGGGCCTATCGTGAAGCGCGAAGACTCCTGAACCAAGCGTAGGAGCACCTTGAAGGTTCTCGAAATCGGAGTCGCCCAACCGAGGACGCATTGCCTCCAACACTTTCGCCACCATCGGATTCTACTTGTTTATCTAAACGCGTAGAGGTCATATCTGCTCCTTCTCCTTTATCTTTCCTTCGAACTCCGTCACTCATGTTTTCGGACTCTCTCACAGAATTTTTCCCAACATCCCTCCACTAACACTTGATTCATCTGTCATCTCCACTTTCCCCTAGAGGAACTCCGTCTCCGAACTCACGGACGGCGTGGAGTTCCTAGAAGAAATTCCTCTACTACCACCGAAATTCTATTTTCGCATCCAAATAACTCATTTAAATCATTCGTTAATTCCCGGACCGCACCTATTCTCGATGTCACCTTTACGGTCGACCCTCATTATTTCGATCCAGACGAACGAGATGGAATTATCGGCCAACTTCCCCGTTCCTGTATTCCGATATTTATTCCGGATTCCCCCAACCCTTATCTAATTCCAGTGGAATTCTTTTTCAATCTCTTTCCTCCTTCTTCCATTACTATCCAAAAAATAGATTAAACAAAAATCAATGCTCTGCTTTCTCTGAATTCTCATTTCCTAACATTTTAATCTAACTAAGACTTAAATAATTATTAAATAATAGGCAGATGTTAATAAAGATTATCGCATCGATCTGTAATATGTAAATTAGTTCGTAATAGATTTATTAAGATATAACTTATTAAGGTATAACTTTGTTCTGTTTGATTGATAATTGTCAGCAACAATAAACAATGCTAATAATTTTACATCTTTCGTTTTTTAATTTTAAAACCCTAAAATCTCGTAGTCGTTCAACCCTGCTCTTTTCAGAGATCCATTGCACGTGGTCCATTTCCGAGTTAAAGGGATTAGATTTCTTGACTCGAAATTCAGATCGACAATCGCATTGCTCGTAGGAAATAGGTGTTATAGCGGGACCCATATTCCGAGGCGAGCACGAAAAGGGTGCGTTCGACTCGCGATATTCGCTTCTCTGTGGACTTGGAAGACACGAGTCTGACCGCGTCCTATCTCCCTCACTATTTCTGCTCCTCTTTTCTCCAGTAGGATCATAATTTTAAAATCTCCACGAGTTTACACATGAAATCTTCAAACATTTTTGCATTTAAAATGAGATAAATATACATTTGGCATTAAAAAGAGAGAAAGTGAAAATGTTGAGTGCAAAAAATGCAAGCAACGTAAATAAGGTCAATGTAAAACTTATAGTAATCTGAAAGAGTATTTTCATTATTTTTTCAAAGAGGGAAATTTTTCACTCTTAAATTGGATAAATTTAAAAAAAAAGTGAGATTGCTTTAAAAATGAACAAATCAACTTTGCAATATATGCGAGTCTGTTCAAAGCATTTTATATTTTAAAACTACTTTTCAAAAAATTAAAAAAATTAGTAAAAGTTAATAAAAATTGTCTGTTACACCTATATTTATATAATACATTGCTGATATTCTTTTAAAATATTTTTATTTGAATAGTATTGGGTCGTCCGGAAAGTTCGTGCCGCAAAAGATTTAAATTTAATAAATGAAATTAAAAATTTAAATCTTCTGCGTTTCAATTTTCCTTCAAAATCAGCATGAACTTTCCGGACAACCCAATAATATACGAAAATATTTTTGTTCTTCCAAGTTGTTATATTGCTTTCCATAGGCTGCTTTAAGATTATGCTTGGCTAAGGTTATCATCATTTTTTCCTCTAATAGTTAAGCAACTTTTGCTTGAAATATTTTTGTACTTGTTAAATTTTGAAATATTCTAATGAATAATAGTGCACTGTGGCATCTTTTTTTTTATTTTTTTTACCAACGGAAATGATTAATCCATTATTTATAATTTCACCCTCACGCATGAGTTTCACAAAGTGAAACTTCTGTTGCTTTTATTGCATTTATTATGAACAACATTTTAAAAATAAATGTAAAAAGTCGTTCAATTTCATATAAGATAATTTACGTTTTAGTTAGTCTGCTGTACGCTAGTTCCACACTAAGAGCGCTCAGAAAATATTTGCCAAATCAGCTTGAGCGTAAAAATACATTTTCACGTGCTATTAAAATAAGCAATTGAAGCGATAGATTTGTCATTTATTTCGGCTGAAATTTTGTAGTTTACACAGTTTCAATTACTAGCGTCGAACGCTCAAACAATATTGACAGTGCTGTGTTGATTGTGTTGACTACCGTTAACTGCAATATACATAACCTAATTTATTCTTTTTTTTTTGTTGCTGATCTAGATAAAGAATTCGACGCAATTAGAATAACTTAATAACCAGAGATGACGTTAGGGTATTTAGCACTCTCCT